CTTTACGCGGGTTGCATTAGCCTCACAAGAAATTTGTCTGTCATGTTAACAATTTACTAATTTGTGACGTCCGATTAGATCCAGTTCGGCATATGATGAATAAATCTTCGTGATCTGGGATGTATAATGTATCCTATTAGGATAGCGTTCCGTATAGGGCCCAAATGCCTGTATTATTACCTATTATATATGTGTCATTTTGGCAAAAATGTTCATCACTACTTAGTAAAAAAGTCAAAATATTTGTTAAGGCACTAACCATGTCCATAGTAAACTTACAATAACATTTAAATTAAAGCCAATTAATAAAAAACTCAAACCTAAACTTAGAACAAAATAATTAAAAAAGCAATGACTTTTAGAAACAATAGCAATCACCAATTTATTTGCGTGCGATAGAAGGAAACGATAAGTTTAACTAATTACAGAAATTGCTGTTGATGATAAAAATATTTATTATAGATACTCGTACTTAGAATTGCATCAAAACAACCCATTGTTCCGTCAAAATCTTTCAGTCGTTTCATTTTTGCTTATTTTTTGATAAAAGTCTGTTTGAAAAAATTATCAATAAGAAGCAGAATTATATCAACAAGACATACAAATAATGTATGAGCTTAAAAATAACAAAAATTAATCAAAATCAAAGTTTACATTCTAATATGAAGAGAAAGTACTATACCTCCTCTTATCGCCTCCTATCCTTCTAAAAAACATTTTGTCTATTATGTTGTTGACTATGTACAATGTTCATTCGTCAGTAACTAATTTCATATAGACTATACCCACTAGTTTCCAATTTTTTTTGTAATCTATAATACCCTACTGTTTTCTGGTGAATATAAGAATGTACGTACGTATTGTTTTTTATTAAACTTTGAACAATTTCAGAATCATTTCTTTATTTGATCACTAAATAATATCAAGCAAATAAACTTAACATTTCTCTACGAATTTTGAATGATTCTTATGAAAATTAATTTCAGTCTTTGTTATAAACAACATGTGTGCGATAAATCACAAAGCAAGACACATTACTTTTAAGTATAATGGAAATATACAGGGTAGCCCATCGAAAACGTACCGCAAGGCATTACAGGATAGTAAAGAACTTTTCGGCAAAATCCAAAAACAGGTCAAATTTATTTCTGGGGGGGACAACTTTTGGCTCAAAAAGCATACCAAAATCTACAACCCCCTAAGTAGGGATGCCATCCCCTAAATTTTTTCAAATGGGAATGGGGGTCAAGTGGGGGGTCATTAGAAAAGGCTTTTAATTCTCTATACATCGATTCTTACTTTTTGAAAATCGATTCATTATTTTAGAAAATATGCAGCTTTGAAAATACGAACAATATTTTTGACGAGAAATGCGAAAATCGATTTAATTTTACTTCAAAACTTACGGTATTAGTCAAGTAAATGCTGAAAATGTTGTCCGCCAACTTGCATACAATGATACAGGTTGTCTTCAAACCGTTGTCGAACATTCTGGAGCACTTGCGGTGTTACTTCGCGACATACATTAATGATTCGTCCTCGCAGATCTTCCAAGGTATCAGGTGGAGTGCTGTAAACTTTGCTTTTAATGTGCCCCCAGAGAAAGAAATCTAAAGGATTTAAGTCGGGTGACCGAGGGGGCCACTCAATTGCACCTCTTCGTCCTATCCAGCGTCCTGGAAACGTCTCATTTAGGTAATTGCGCACATTGAGCGAGTAATGTGGAGGAGCTCCGTCTTGCTGGAAAATCAGTTCGTGTTCATTGTAAGCAGGGTCGTCCTCTATGATATTTGTTAGAGCTGGGTCGATGACATTTTGTAGTAAATCCAAGTACATATCGCCTGTCAAATTTCCAGGAAGGAAAAAAGGACCTACAATGGAATTTCCAAAAATACCTGCCCATACATTCAACTTCTGGGGGTGTTGGGAGTGTGTCTCATGGAAAATCCTTGGATTGGTATCAGCCCAGTAACGACAATTATGGCGATTCACTAAACCATTCAAGAAGAACGTACACTCGTCCGAAAAACACACATTAAAGAGGAAATTATCGTTTATCGCTCGTTCAGTCATTATTTCGCAAAATTGCAAACGACGATCAAAATCGTCTTCATTTAGCTCTTGCACTAGCCGAATCTTATAAGGATGGAATTTGTATTTTTTTAATATTCGTTGGACACTTGTACGACTCACTCCTGTCGCAGTAGCCAATTGCATTGTACTCAGCGTACTATCCATTGCCACTTGCCCCAATACCGCTATTTCCGTAGGTTCATTTAGTACCGGATTTTCAACCTGCCTCTTTTTGTTATGAACGGAGCCAGTTTCGCGAAATTTGGCCACCAATTCGCGAACAATTTTTCCAGACGCATGTTTCTCAGGATGCCGTTGGTTGAACAGTTCGGCGACCCGATTTCCGCATTCATTGTTTTTGAAAAAAAGCTCAATAATTTCTACTCTTTCTGGAATTGAGTACACCATAATTAATCAATTTAAAAGACTCGGCAGTATTGGTACTCTTCAACTACAAGTCACAAGACAGTTATCTAGCAACTTCTTGTGGCCTATCTAAATACGAAACAAAAAGCGGACAATTTTTTGCTCACCAAAATCAGGCTAAAGAATTCGCAAATCAGAAAAAAAAAAGGCGAATTCTTTTGAAGGAATTTACCAAGCTAATACCGTAAGTTTTGAAGTAAAATTAAATCGATTTTCGCATTTCTCGTCAAAAATATTGTTCGTATTTTCAAAGCTGCATATTTTCTAAAATAATGGATCGATTTTCAAAAAGTAAGAATCGATGTATAGAGAATTAAAAGCCCTTTCTAATGACCCCCCACTTGACCCCCATTCCCATTTAAAAAAATTTGGGGGATGGCACCCCCACTTAGGGGGTTGAAGATTTTGCTATGCTTTTTGCGCCAAAAGTTGTCCCCCTCAGAAGCAAACTTTACCTGTTTTTGGATTTTGCCGAAAAGTTCATTACTACCCTGTAATGCCTTGCGGTACGTTTTCGATGGGCTACCCTGTATAATGATTTAATAATATTCTCTGTCGGTTTTTAATACAATGAAGACTACCTATTATTTTCTTTCCGGCATATGCGGAATATACAAATTTCTCTATTAAATTAAAATTACTTGCTGTACAATGACTTCTATATTACTACTAGAAAGTTTAAAGCAGCCGATAATACGTTTTTTGAAATCTCTTAAAATAGAAGAAAAGCTCTGAACCTAAAAGACTAAGGACTGTTTATTTATTGCTATGCAGGAACCGCCTTTTAAACTTTTTAAAAAATTTTCGAACAATAATTTTTATATTTAATTGTAAGTAAGAAGTAAAAACTGGAATAATTACGTTTCTTATAATCAATTAATTAACAAAAACAAATTTAATATACCTTGACCAAACACCGTATCTACACCATTGGATTTGCAAGTTCAACGTACACCAGGTTATGTAGGTTAATAAACTGTAACTGTTTCAAATTTTATATATTTAACTAAAACCGTTTTTGGGATATTTAATTTTTACGGAAATAAAACAGTTATTATTCTTGGAAACCGTTTTCTCTTTGTAGTCCGTAGAAACTTTTCTTGTTATCTATTTATAATTTGTTTACAAGTAGGTACTATGTACCATGTTGGATGAAGAAGTAAACCGTATTATTATCATCCTTAAAAAACGTGAATACAAAAATGTCAGTTTAGGGAAATTTAACTTTTTCTTGCACTTCGAATATTTCTTAGAAATTCGAAACTATAGTTAAAAATGATTTGATAATGAACGAAGTGTATTTGGGGCTCTTACAAGATAAATATAAATTTAGTGTACCCTTCAATCTCAGTATTTTTTAAAAATAAACAAGTTATACATGCTGTCCTAAATTTTACAAACTTTTTTCCAAAAACGAACAGTAAAGAAGATAAGTGATATAAGAAAGAGATTATATTTTAATTTATTATAAAAAAAATATTTTAAACAGCTGCCCACATAAATTATAAACGTTTTTGAAAAATAACGGATCTGCATAGATACTGACATAGTTTGCAAACAATTATACAGGGTAATAATAAACAAAGTATAAAAAATCAGGGATTCATTTTATTTATAAAAATAATAAGTACTACAAGTTCCTAGGACACAACGGAGTCACGTAACCTCAAAATTATTTGTGTTAAAATTGATATTTTCTCACAAGTCTTTCCGGGTTAAGAGTTTATTTTTTCAGATTTGATACAATTGCTATTGGTAACAAACTACATCCGTGAATAAAACAATCATCAAAATTCTAGAAGCTTAAAGAGCTTAATTGGCCTTTATTGACCAGAACTTTTCTGTTTGCGTGTTGTTTAAAAAATAATCACAGAATCCCACAAAAAAGAAAAGTAGTCTGTTCCAAAGATTAGACCCATGTATTCTTATGTTTTTTGGCGCGCTGAATTAGAATCAGGAGTCAGAATTGATCCACCACCCTTCATTTTAAATCGCAAAAAACCGCTCTTAAGTACAAAAAATATGGAAAATTCACAGGCACACACAAAAAAGAAAAGTGGTCTGTTCCAAAGACTAGACCTATGTATCCTTACGTACATTGATGCTGTGAATCCGAGTCAAGGCTAGAATTGCTCCATCATCCTTAATTTTTTTTTAATTGCGAAAAACCACCCTTAAATACAGAAAATACCAAAAATCTCACTTTGGAGGAATCAGCATTAGGTATAATTGTAGAAACCGACAAAACCGACAGAAAATAGTTCTGAAATTGACGTAGGAAAAAATCCATAAAATTAAATGGCATAGAAATTTACTCTGACTTACTCAGAAATATCAGAATTTGTACGCCAAAGACATTTCAAAATTATTTAACGACTACGCCAAATATATTTAGACATGTGTTTGCATAATACATAAAGAATTACCCTCTGTGTTATCGAAACTTATTTAACGGCCAATCTCTATGTAAGCAGTTAAAACAACTCTATTGTATTACTTACCTCTTCTTCTATAATGCACTGTGCATCTAGGGGAAACAGAGGTCTCTGAGAAGTGGGCCTACTTGTTAAGTAATACGCAGAAGCTGCTGCTACTCCTGTAAGAGCCAACGCACCAGCACCTCCACCAATGTAGAGTAAGTACTGCTCCATATCATCCACTGAAATGAAATCATTTATTAAGAAAAGAGGAACATTAAAAAATATATGTGCACACAAGTACAATGTGCAACTTGAAGTAGCGATAACAAACAAACAACAATTAGAAAAGAACAAATCCTGTACAGTTCTGAGTAGATTATTTCTAATAAGAACTTACATGTCGCATGAAATTTTTTCGTTAGGCGCACAGATTATGAGTAAAAATCCAAAAACTAAGTCACTTTAAAATTTAAATAAAGGATATTCAGTTGGACATTTGACAGTTCATTCATTTGACAGAAATTTGACTTTACCTATGATGTTCCTTGTGTTCAGTGATTTTTATTTGACCACCGTTTTTATTGTTACCGGCAATGTTAATTATTAATTAATTATGAAAGATGTCCGGTACAAGGTATGGCAACATGACATACCAACTTAACAAACAAAAGAATATTACCAATATTAGTTTACACGTCTATTAATGACCATTACTAATAGTTATAATAAGTTTTTGGACTTAAGTTGAACTACTTATAAAATGATGAACATACAAAAAAGCTTAAGCGGCACAAACGTTGTAGTTGAAAATGGTCTATCCGAAAGTTACAGTTTTTTTTGACAGTAAAGACATCTCAAATACCTTCTAATTTTGATGCCGTTGTTTAAATTCTACACGTAGCTGAAAAAAATGGCTCTCTACGAAGTCTGGTGTTTGCCGTTCAATTGTTTCTATGTACTTATTAATATTTTATATTCTTGAATAATCTTGAGAGTCCTTACGAAAATATCTTTTTTTTTATTTTATCTAGCAAAATTCGAGGGAAAATTACTCAAAGTTTATCACATTGTCGCTGTTACACCCTATATATTTAGATATATACGATTTATAGCAGTTGTGTTTATATAGATCCTAAACTAAAAAAATTCTTACAGATTTTGGTGCGCCCAGGAAAACCTATTTGTTTTTTTATGACACTTCACTGATCTAATTACACTTAAAGCACCTCGATGCAGCTTGGACTGAGCCCAAAACTAAAACAGTAATAGATGTACTCACAGAGAAACGTATTTTTTATTCTACACATTGAAAGTAGATAAACAATGAACGTAACTTGTGTTACTCTACCTAAAAATATTACATTTATTGAGGGATATTCAGAACGTTTCAACTTATGTGTAATTCATGCTTCCATATTTTTTTTGAATTAACAACAACAAACCTTTTAACATTTTATCAATGAATTTTCCAATTTTATTTTATTTAAACGATTGAGTGAGATAGTAGGTACCTATCAGTTTTAAAAAACCTTCCAATTTATGCAGAAAAACAAAAGGTAAGTTATTTTAAAAACAACAGACAAATAGTTTATTTTTTACTTCTTTACATAAGTGTACAGTGGGTCCCAACGAGAGGAGTGGCTGTAGATAAACTGTCGATTTAAAAAGAAAATTTAATTTCCTTCCATGAAATAATTCTTTGTTAACATTTAATGGGAAGGCCGTTCCGAAATATAAGAAAAATTTAAAGTATCCCGACTTTACCTATTTCGTCAGCGATCTATAATACGTACCTGCTAAGTGTTTTGAATTTATACTGAAATTTGGAGACGTTCGAACAATTTGTGAGTATATTTTTGAATTTCACCTGTGCTTTGAATATACCTAATATTTTATGTTTATTAATATGGACCGTTCTCAGTAAATGTTTCTGGCAATAGTAATAATAGTTATACAAAAAGGAATAGTCATGGATATTGCATTGGAAGCGGGTATTAATGCTTATTTATTTATTTTAGAATATCTACAAAATTTATTACAACTACCTAACATCGAATATTATGTGTATTGCAATTGCTTGACCAAATTTTGCCTAATGACGGATTCTTCGTTACAAATAAATAAAAAAAGTTTTCTATAAACATTTATTTCAGGTTGGAAAAACGTGTTCAACTGAATACGAATCTGAAAGCCTTTTGTTTAATTAAATAAATAGTCGAGTTATAATTAGTTTTTAAAATGTACTTTAATACTTGTGTACGCTGCCACTGTAATCATGTATTACAAATACATGAATTGTAAGCAACCTACAATGCATGTGAAGGGAGTTAGTACCGTTAAACGGTGACAAAGCGAAGGGCGTCATCGTCAGTTGTTGTTCCGCATTTGGAGACAGTACATCTAACCTAACTGTGTTTTTCATCGCTGCAAGCCATCAACACACTATTTATTTTTGTGTATTTCATTTATCATTATTGATTACTGCTTGAGTTTTTTGCTAAGTTACTTTGTTAAGTACTGTTTGCGTGGCGAACACCCACTCAACAAAAGTAACTCGCGGCGAATGGTGCGGAATTGTGCATGCTCTGCGACTAATGCGCGACGTTATTTGCGGTTACACTAGCTTCTCCAGCGGTGGGGTATAAAAATTACTAAAAAAGGATTTAAAAAGATTAAGTTTTTACGACGGAATTTGAAAAAATAAACTATTGATACACGTTTCTAAAGGTCAAAGGAAGCGTCTGTATAAATATGACCCCACTCAAAGTTACACCCTGTATATTATGTATAATGTAATATCTATAAATATTCAGAGAGGCTACTTGGAGGTCTTAAATTGGNCTATTTATTTTTGTGTATTTCATTTATCATTATTGATTACAGCTTGAGTTTTTTGCTAAGTTATTTTGTTAAGTACTGTTTGCGTGGCGAACACCCACTCAACAAAAGTAACTCGCGGCGAATGGTGCGGAATTGTGCATGCTCTGCGACTAATGCGCGACGTTATTTGCGGTTACACTAGCTTCTCCAGCGGTGGGGTATAAAAATTACTAAAAAAGGATTTAAAAAGATTAAGTTTTTACGACGGAATTTGAAAAAATAAACTATTGATACACGTTCCTAAAGGTCAAAGGAAGCGTCTCTATAAATATGACCCCACTCAAAGTTACACCCTGTATATTATGTATAATGTAATATCTATAAATATTCAGGGAGGCTACTTGGAGGTCTTAAATTGGAAAAATAGGTCAAATCATTTATTGTGGTTCATTCCGCGAGTTTATCTTTGTCAAAGAGGTGATGTTAGAAATAAAAGATAACTTCTTTAAAAGTTTAAATATAAATTGTTTCTTTATTCTCGGGTATTTTGCCACATGTGAAAAGAATTAAAAAATTAATTTAATAAATCCCTGTATCAACAACTTATTGAAGTGCGCCACAAATAATGGCGTGTATTTTTTATTTCACGGCTTTTTTCAATGTGAAATAATTGGTTAGGCAAAACTATTTCCATGAAAGTTACTTTTGACTAATTCTTTTTGTGCCGGGGTTTATTTAATCAGTTGTAATTTTTTTTCGCAGCTGGTAAAGTAAATAACGAAAAAATTAAAGCAATGCCACAAATAAATAACTTCAGACAATATCTTTACATTTTTAAATTATTTCAGTATGTCAGATATTTCAGTATTATTAGTAATATAATAATAGATAATAAATTATTTTTTAAAATTATTAATTAATATGGAGGAGATAACATGTTTGCTAGATATAATGGATGTAATTCAATACCAGGTGAGGAATTTAGTCTGCAGAATAATTGTTTCCTACAACCCCAATGTGCAATTTAACAAAAAATAAAAGATAATATAAAACAGGCATAATTAAAAAAAAAATTAAAATAGTAACTTTCGATCATTAATGATTTGACACTTTTTACAATAATTACTTTCTCATAGATTAACATTTGTGTCTCGAAAACGGTGGTTCTAACAACATATGCAACATTTTCTTGTAAAGCCTTTAATGCTCTATTACAATAGTGAGTCAAATTTAAAATAGCTTACAAGAAAAGAAAGCCAACAGAGAAGATTACGTTCACCATTGGAATTACATCCCTGTATGTATTAAACCTGTAGTACATTTTTGTGTGTCAATTTTAATTCAAATCACTTCAGTCATTTTTTTCTGTAATTTAAATACATATTTTTTTTTTCTAAAACCTCAACAGTATACTTTCCGAGTATGGGAGTTTTCTGTTGATATATGATTTTTTTTAATTTGTGACATTCACCAGAGCATTTTCAAATATTTGCAAATTTTTTTTGCATGCATATTTTTGTATCCGATCAATCAAAATTTGGTACAGACGTCTGTGGTAGTCACATATTAATTGTTTTTTAAAATACAAGGTGGAACTGAAATAAAAATGTATTTTCGAAAAGTTAAAAACACTCACTTTAAAAAATTTTTCAGAAATAAATAATAAATATTAAAACTACAAAGATTTCTAATAAACAATATGCAGTATAACTTGTTTGGGCATCATTAATAATGTTATTTTACAAACATTTTCTTTCTATAAATTACCAAAACGCTTTACAGTATCATAATACAAGTAGGTAGCTTTATTTATTTTAAACAAGCAATAATAATTTTTACTTAAGGTAGTTATCAGCTAAATTGACACTATTCGAGATAATTACGAAACTTTCAGTTATAATTAATTAGGTACGCACCTGATAGATAAGTATTTAGCAAAATTTCAGCACATTAGTTTCTGAGGTATGGTTAATTCAGTATCTCAATTATTGTGCACATTTATAAAAAATCTCGAGACACGTCGATTGTGGATTCTGAAATGACATCTTGCAACGTAAAAATTTCATACCCAAATTCAACCTTCTTCGAGTGGCAGTAGCAACCCCTAAATTTAAATGAGAAGGAGCTTGTGATACCTCAATTGAAAAGTATGTTCATTGCATATTCAAAAATGCTATGGTATTAATATTTAATGCAAAAATTAATGGTCTGCTTAACGAAATTTGTTACAACAAACAAAAATATAATAACAGCGTTTTCATCTTGTAGGCTAGCAAAAACAATTTCAGTGTTCTTTTTCAACATTTTCGACTAAAAAGAAGATATAAAAACTTGTCAAAATTATTCGTAACTCACATTGCCAATTTTATTGAAAAAAAAATAATGATTGCGGTTAGATCGGTCACGCCCCAGCTGTTGG